ATTTCATGCATTAACCAATCATTACATTTCATGCATTAATCAAATGTACATGCATATCATAAATGATGTTGCATGTGAAGACAATCATCATTATCGATCAAGTTATCAATTTTACATCGAATCTTGGCAGTAGATTCCCCTGGTTAATCACGACAGTTGATTATCCAGAAGACCTCGGCAGAAGGTAATCTCTCAACTGAATCTCGGCAGAAGATTCCCCTAGTTAGTCTCAGTAAATGATTTTCCAGAAGACTTCGGTAGAAGGTATTTCTACATCGAATCTCGATGGTATATTCCCCTGGTTGATCACGATAGTTGATTATCCAGAAGACCTCGGCAAAAGGTATTCCAATTGAATCTCGGCAGTAGATTCCCCTAGTTGATCACGGCATTTGATTATCCAGAAGACCTCGACAAGGTGGCTCACAATTGAATCTAGGCAGTAGATTCCCCCAGTTGATCATGGTAGTTGATTATCCAGAAGACCTTGGAAGAAGTTAATCTCTCAACAAAATATCGGCAGAAGATTCCCTTGGTTAGTCTCAGCAAATGGTTTTCCAGAAGACCTCGGCATAAGGTATTTCTACATCGAATCGCGGTAGTAGATTCCCCTGGTTGATCACGACATTTGATTATCCATAAGACCTCAACAGAAGGTATTCAAATTGAATCTCCGAAATAGATTCACATGGTTAATCACGATAGTCGATTATCTAGAAGACATCGTCAGAAGGTATTTCAATCGAATCTCAGAAGTAAATTCCTCTGGTTGATCACGACATCTGATTATCTAGAAGACCTCAACAAGGTATCTCACAATTGAATCTCGACAGTAGATTCCCCTGGTTGATCACATCAGTTGATTATCCAGAAGACCTCGGCAGAAGGTAGCTCATAAACGTATCTCGGCAATAGATTCCCCTGGTTGATCACGATAGTTGATTTTCTAGAAGACCTCAGCAGAAGGTAATCCAACAAAATCTTGGAAGTAGATTCTCCTGGTTAATGTCGGCAGATGATTCCAGAAAACCTCGGCAAAAGGTATCCCACAAACAAATCTCGATAGTATATTCCTCTGGTTGATCACGATAGCTGATTATCCTGAAGGCCTCGGCAGAAGGTAATTCACAATCGAATCTCGGCAGTAGATTCTCCTAGTTGATCACGACAATTTATTATCTAGAAGACATCGACTGAAGGTAATTCCATATTGAATCTCGGCAGTAGATTCCCCTGGTTGATCACGACAGTTGATTATCCAGAAGACCTCGCCAGAAGGTAATTCAAACGAATCTCGGCAGTAGATTCTCTTAATTAATCTCGTCTGATTGATTTTCTGGCAGACCTCGGCAAAAGGTAATTCAATTGAATCTCGGCAGTACATTCCTTTGGTTAATCTCAGCGATTTATTTTCCAGAAGACCTCGACAGAAGGTAATTCACAATTGAATATCAGTAGTAGATTCCTTGGAAATATCGACATTAGATTTCCCGTTAAAAAGCCTTACATCTAGCATGACATATATATAACGATATCAAAGTATCAAGATCATTCATAACATTTGGTGCATGTATATATAAGGAAAATATGGGGTTCATTTCTTCATGTTGATAGCCTAGGTTGAGAACAGACACAACTGTCATCGTCAGCAATACTTCGCTCTCAACCTTCAAACCTAGCATTTTTATGCTAAACAATTACCTTGGTTGAGAACAGACACAACCGGTAAAAGAACTTGATCCTATCTTTGATTTAGTTATCTAAGATTTGATCATCAAAAAACAGCTTTTTCTGCAATCGCATCAAGTCTCCATGCAGCAATGTGTGAAAATTTGCGATATAACTCATTGCCTCAGTCTCCATGCAGCAATGTAGTTATCAAGCTTTTCCAATTATCTATCCCCTAGGTTGTAATAGATATGCGAATAAATCTGTATAATCCATTACATCAGTCTCCATGCAACAATTTTATTATCAGGCTTTTTCCGCGATATAACTCATTGCGTCAGGCTCCATGCAGCGATGTAGTTATCAAGCTTTTTCAATTATCTATCCCCCCAGGTTGCGATAGATATGCGAAATAAATCTGCATAATCCATTGCGTCAATCTCCATGTAGCGATGTGTTATCAGACTTTGTTTTATTCATCCCATAGGTTGCGATGAATAGACAAAATAAAATCAAACCAAAACTTACTATATTAGTCCCTAAGCATTAGTAAGTCAATTTTTTTTTAAAACTTGTATTTCTTGTGAATATGCAAAAGAATCTATCAATCTCTTAGATATTGACGAGTTATCTACGTCCTCATATCTAAGTCAAATCAACTTTGTTTCAAAACGCTGGTAAGATGATATATCATCATTTGTGCCTACTCTTTATACTCATGGGAATATTGTACATCATATCCTTATAATCTTTCGGATAAATTTTGGGGTCTTCCAATATTTAATAAATTCTCGATCAGAACGTGTGAGACTTGCGTATTCTCACATTGTTCGATCGAAAAGTGATTAAATATGGGCAACTGTCAAACCCCAAATTCACCATACCATTATATTATATTTAGGTTTCTAATTAAATAAATCATATTATGTAGTTTTTAATTTCTACGGGGGTGTAAAATATGGAAGAGAGGTGTGTTGATCTAAAAATGGACCATCAATATCTAATGGCCTATTAAGGTTTCGTTCATTTTGAGAGAGGGTGCATTTTTATGATAGGAGTACACTATTTTAAAAAATCATGGGCATTTCTTAATCAGAAAGGACCCATGTAATTTTTTAATCCATTTCAAGTATTAAAAGAGGGGGTCCATTAAACAAGTCTTTTTTTTAGGTCCAATAAACAATATGGTCCGATTAGCTTTTTTGGTTTATTTTGAAAAATTGTTTTGTTTTAATTATAGCATTATCATCAACATCACTATTATTTATTTTAATTAATTATACTAATATTTTTATAATTAAATCTTTATTTTTGCAGACTTAATTAAAAAATATTTTTATTTTATAAAACATGGACTAATAAAGTCAGATTTGAAAAAGGTCTTTACTAATCGAGCGGCCCAATCCAATAAGGCTCAGGCCCAAAGTCTAAAAGCGCTCATTAATTCAAATCACAGGAAAACGCTCACTGTACGAATTAAAAAAATAATACATTTTTTATTACACAAACATCTATTGTTCAAATTCAAAAGAATATGACTTGTATTTTAAGAACAGTTACCAAATCTAATCTCTATTCATCCAATCACCAAATAATAAAAACAAGCAAATTTGTGCATTAAACGTTCTACAAACAATATCATACTAAAAGCATAAACAAATTGTTACGAATTAATACTAATCAAAACATAATCGATTTACAAACAAAATCCTTCCTAATACAGAAACAAATTAAAAATTGTATTAACTTTACAGACATATTAAATTGTTTCCTAAATCTATAAGCCCTAATTAAAATCATATTAAAATCGTAGACAAATTAATCTATTTCCTAATCTGTAAATCCCTTAAAACTCTATAAAAACCTAAGATTAACACAGAAGCAGGACCAACAAAAAAAATCGGAGAGGAAAGAACTACAGGGAAGAAAATTATTAGAAGGAGGAAAATTTGTAACAGAAGAAGAACAGAGAAGCTTCGTCGTTGTAATCTCCGTTCACCGGCACCTAGGGTTTCAACATCTGAAACCCTAGATCCAGTCGTCGCACCGCCGCCTCCATCAAATTGCCACCTTAATCATCATCACCGGCTTCCACCTGCGAATTGAAAAGAGAGAGCTTAGAAAAGGAACCGAAACAAAAAAACTTAAGGCGCCGGAAGATAATCTCTAACTTAGTTTGATGGTTAATTGATGCTTTACACGCCCCCTCAGTTTTACTAACGCACTAAAAAATGTAGCCCTTATTTTTAGGGTTATCCTTTATATTCCCTTCCTTCTGATACAAATTAAGGGTGGCGACTCTCAAATTTAAAATCAGTTACAACAGAGGATAATTGTTTTAGTCTTGTCAAACAGTCCAATAAGATATACCCAATACAAATGGTCAATCTAAAGTGCCACACGTTCAGACCAACGAATAAATATACTCTCATTAAGGACCAAGACACATAAGCCAAACACTACGCTCATCTCAACCATTACAATTCATCCAATAGTCTATTGTACCAGATGCCACATTCCCTGAGGTCGGTTTTGACTGTCGTTCATATATAAGGGTAGTTTTGCATCACTCCAAAGTACATTTCATGACATTGTAAGTTTTTTCTCTTTGATTTCACCGACACGTTAAAGTACTAACTTTACAGGTATACCTCTTATTCATCCACCAGAGACTCTACCATTGTACCAGAGGCCTTCAACTCACCATCAATCATCAATTCTTATTCCATCATAGAAATAATTTTTTTTTTTCATTTTCTTTATTTCAACTTTGTATAAATAAAAAAACAACGTCAAAATGTTATGAAAATCAATTTATTTCGATGTATAAATTCAGTTGCAATGCTACAAAAATATAATTTTATTTCAAGATGAAGGTTTAGATGGTTTATTTCTAAAATCATTATTTCCATGATAAACAATATATGTGTGGAAACGTTAATTTAAAAAATATAATATAAACTGTAAAATATAAATTCATATTTTTTGAAAAAGTAAAAAAAAAAAAAAATCATAACTAGTGTGAGATGAAACATGTTATTGATTTGGTATGGACAAATGTGAGGCTTGAAATTGTTAAAGGGTTTTACATTTTTGAGTGTGTGTACTGCGTGTGCACAAGGCTCCCTTGGCTTACCTTACCTTACCTTACCTTATCCTATCCATACAGTTTCTTTTTTAATGCTGCTCCATCTCGCAATTTCATAACTATATTCTCCCCTTTCTACCTTACTTACTTGCTTCTTAGTTAACCCCTCCATCATTTCTATTCAATTTCAATTTCATTATGTAAAACAGTTACGTCTCATCAGTTCTGAAACTACCCTCACTTAATGGCTCCTAAAACTGGAAAAGCCAAGCTCCACAAAATTAAAGGAGACAAGAAGAAAAAGGAAGAGAAAGGTTCTTAAACTCTACCTTTTTTTTTTTTTTGTTATTACTCTTCTTACGAGTTTGTTAATGGAATATAACTGCTGGGACTTTATGCATTCATCTTGCACTTATTAATCCGAATTACTTGTTTTCTTGTAGTTTTGCCTACGCTAATTGAAATTACTGTTGAAATACCAGATGGTTCACGGGTTACACTCAAGGTACCATGGTGTTCAATCATTTTAATTCATTTCACATTTTATATAATATAATTATTATATAACAGAGATATTTCCCGCATTTCACATTTTAAAATAACAATCCAATATTACGGTGATGACATTTAATTTATCCATATTGATTTCTTTTAGTTGAGTTATTTAGATAATGCATATTAAGAAATAATAAAAATGTCAAATCTTTTAATATTTTGATTGTTTCTAAAAAATGTATGACAATGTTTACTTTAAAGAAATTTTTCTATTGTTAACGAGTAAAATCAACACAAATATTTTTATTAAATAAACAATTTTGATTTTCTAACATCACCCTTTCTTCAATAGAAAATAGACTAAAAATTATGTTTATGAACTATAAGAAAAATAAGAGCATGGTTGAATGAGTTTGGTTTTATTAAATTTAAAATGTATTTTATAAATTAGTTTTAAAGAAAAATTAAACGAAAACAAGTATGCTAATTTTATTTATAAAATTTATTTTAAAATAAAAAATATATTTAATATCATTTTTAATTCCGTATGTTAATCTCAGATTTATTTTAATCCCTTAATGTAAAAAAGGTCAGTATTAGTTCAAAATATAATATATATTATAATTTTTTTTATTTAATTAGTGATAAATTTAATGATTAATTTTTCAGTTATTTTGTTTTTAATTAGATAAAAAAGATTAATATATTATATTTTGAAGTGTTAAAAAATTAATATGGATATTTTTTGTCTTGTTAACCAACTCGGTTAATAACTGTGTATGAATATTAATAATGTGAATTCCAACTATTAAATTACTCAATAAATAAATAAAAGAATATTTTTTAAGTTAAGAAATTAAAATGGACTTCAAAGTTATCATAAAAGACTACAAAAAATATTAGGTCTAAAAAATAATTAAAAAACTTGTTTAATAGATTTATTTTTAAAATGTATTTTTTAATTCAAAAATAGATGGATAATTTGTTTTGTACATATTTATTTTTTATAATGAAATATATTTTTAAAATTAAAAAAAAAAAAAAAAAGAGAACACTTGTTTTATACCTATGTTAAAATTATAAGGATAACGAAATATACAAAAATGTATCGCAAATATTATTTATAATTCTATTTGCCGTACTGACCCATTTACATTAATTTACTAAGAAGATTCATAAATGTTATTTTTTATTTTAAATTTTATAATATTACAAATCTGATATTAACTCAAAGTTATATATTTTTTAAATTTTTTAAAGTAAAAATTAAAACTTTTTAAATTTTATAATTTTTAAAACTTATAACCGGATGCTAGTTTTTAAAGATAATTTTGTAAAATTAAGTAATCAAACTAATTTTATTATTTTAAATTTTATATTGTTATGTTCATGATGTCGTGAATCAAAAGAAAAAAGAATATTTTTTCTTACCTTTCATATTCTTATAAAATTATTCTCAAATTAAAAGGATTAGAAAGTAGATCTCTATAAAATTTTATAATTTTTTTAGAAAGAATGAAACTATGAATTTATTTAATAATATTAAAAATGCGTCAAATAATATTTTAAAACAATATCTAAAAAGAAATCTCTCATTTTTAAAGTAATTTTTATAAATAAGTTTTGACACCATGCACCCTAAATGTTGAAGTAATTAGAGAAAAAGTTACTCAAAATTTTTAATTAAATATTAATTCAAATAGCATAAAAAAAGAGAAAAAATGATATCAATAATTTTACACTATCAATCAATCACAACCACATTAATTATAGGTCATATTGTTATTTTTAAATAAATTATATGACATAATTAAATAATAAATTTCATTAAATGACAGTATAAAATTATTTTACTTGTCAAGGCACTACCTTTTAACTCTAAAAAAATCATAGTAATAAATTAAAAAATTTAATGGAAATACTTTAAATGTAGTAATATTTTTATACTGTCAATAAATTATAACCGTCAGATCTTAAATTACGTTTAACTTAAATTATGTTTAATGTAAATTTTTTACACGATAAATCAATTATAGTTATAATACAATGAAATTTATTTAACTTTAATGGTAACTATTTTTAAAATATGATAGTTATATATTGATAGTAACTAAACTCTAAGAACATGTGTATTTATTGTTTAATAATCAAAAATTTATTTTATTGAAGTGAATAAGATGTGTGTGATTTTGAACATGTGGAGTCACATCTAGTATTGAATTGAAGTGTTTTGGTTTTGTTTTATATTAGATAGTATTTTGTACTCCCTCCGTTTTAAAACGAGTGTCGTTTTAACAAAATAAATTTTGTTTTAAAATGACTGTCATTTTCATTTTTCAATGTAATAATGATTACTATTTTTCTAATCGTGTTTTTACTTTTTATTCTCTACACTACTTTCAATACATTAATAGAGTTAATTTTGTAAAAGTGTATTGTCCTAAGAAAACATCATTGCATTCCTTAATTTGTGAGAAAAACCTTAAACTAACCGTCATTTTAAAACGGAAGGGGGTATTAGATTGTTATTAAAAGGTTGTTGATCCTAGTATGCTTAGCCGTTTTCTATGATAAGGAAAAGTTCTATCTTTTGTGGCATTTATAGATTTAACTTGTAAGAACTAAGTAGATTTATTCTTGGGAGGCAGGGCATCTCAACTGACAGGATCCTTGATTTGAGAAAGCTTTTAGCTGTCCATGTTGAGACTTGTCACTTGACTAACTTCTCCTTATGTCATGAGGTATAAGCATTCTTGCACTTTTCATTTTCTTGTTAATCTTGCTGTAAAATTTCAATGCTTACCATACATATGCTGCATTCAATTGAATAGGTGCGAGGTGAGAGGTTGAAAGATACCGTCGAAATAATATCACTCAAACCATGTCATGTCTTAATCGTCCAAGGTAACTAACTAATTAACTGATTATCTACTAGTGCCTGCCTACCTACTAACTGATATTGTTATCTTTCAGAGGACTACTGCAGTGAAGAGTCTGTGGTGATACATATTCGCAGACTTTTGGACATCACAGCATGCACCTCAGCCTTCCGGAAATCCAATGCAGCTGCTTCCGTCGAAAGTAAACCCACTGGGAAATCCAATGCAGCTGCTTCCGTCGAAAGTAAACCCAAGGATCAGAATTTGGACTTGGCTGATGGCTCCATGTATCCACCACCTAGACTTGGACAATTCTATGATTTCTTTTCCTTTTCCCACCTTACACCACCCTTTCAATGTGTGTCAGCTTTTCTATCGTACTTCAATTCTCCATTGCTTTTCCTATGCATTCATTAGTCATGAAATATCAATTTTGTTCTCAACAATCTTCATTGTGTTTTTGATTTTCTGCCAGACATACGAAGATCAAACCGTCCATTCCTTGAGGATAAGACACAGGATGATTTCTTTCAGATTGATGTAAGGGTTATTCGCTGTTTCATTATTTTAATTTCTGAGTAACTTTTCCTAGAGTATTTATCTATCTATAATGTGTGCATTTGGTATGTGTCCAGGTTAGGATTTGCAGTGGAAAACCAACTACAATTGTTGCCTCCAGGAAAGGATTCTATCCTGCTGGAAAACGTATTCTTATGAACCATGCATTGGTGCCTCTCTTGCAACAGATAAGCAGGGCATTTGATGCTGTAAGTTTATTCTCATTATTATTTCTTTGCGGTTTTCTGGTTTGAAGCATTTGGCATTACATCACATTATACCGTACAACGTGGCTAAATAATAATCTTTCTTGCAGGCCTATGGAGCTCTTATGAAGGCATTTATAGAACACAATAAGGTAATATATTTCTCATTGCATTATAAGATTTCACCTTCTTCTGCTAACTGTACCACATGTTCTTACAATTATAGTGGTATCATTTCAGTTTGGAAATCTTCCTTACGGTTTCCGTGCAAACACATGGCTTGTCCCTCCAGTTGTTTCTGACAATCCAGCAGTGTTTCCCTCACTACCTATGGAAAATGAAGCTTGGGGAGGAAACGGAGGTGGTCAAGGAAGAGATTGCAAACATGAAAAGAGACGGTGGGCCAGAGATTTTGCAATCCTCGCTGCAATGCCTTGTCAAAATGCAGAAGAGAGGCAAATTCGAGATAGGAAAGCCTTTCTGCTTCATAGCTTATTTGTAGATGTATCAGTCTTCAAAGCAGTTTCTGCAATAAATCATTTTAGAGATACCAAGCAAAGCTCTTATGAAGAACAAGCTGGTGATTTGACTATAGTGGTGACGAGAGATGTATCTGATGCAAGCATTAAGTTGGACTGCAAAAATGATGGGACTCGGGTTCTTGGACTATCAGAGGAAGAACTTGCTCAGAGAAATTTGCTTAAAGGCATAACTGCTGATGAAAGTGCAGCTGTTCATGTAAGTGTGATGTTTGAACCTTTATAAATGTACTCAAGTGATTTTTGATTTTTCAAGTTTTGCATCTGTTTGGTTCTTCTAGGACACTTCTACTCTAGGTGCAGTGATTATACGACATTGTGGCTACACTGCTGTGGTAAAGGTTTCCGCTGAGACAGATTGGGCGAGGAGTCCTGATGAATCCTTGGAAATTGATATCGAGGACCAGCCTGAAGGAGGCGCAAATGCATTAAATGTTAACAGGTAGTTTATAGTGCATTTATAACAACTGTAAGAAGTACAATAATAAAAATGAAAAATAGATCTGGCTTTACAAGTTCCTGATACGATTTTTTGCCAACTTACCTTCAGCTTGAGGATGCTATTGCATAAGTCATCTAATGCAGCAGTCCAACGAGTCCAGAGTGCAGATCTTGATAATTCTCATTCTGCTCGGTCTTTCGTAAAGAATGTTCTCGAAGAAAGTTTTCTAAAATTGAAGGAAGAGGACACTATACAAAGCAAATCTATCAGATGGGAGCTTGGGGCATGTTGGATACAACATTTGCAAAATCAAGCTACAGAAAAAACTGAGCCAAAAAAGGCTGAAGAAGCTAAATTGGAACCATCTGTAAAAGGACTTGGCAAGCAAGGTGGATTACTAAAGGAATTGAAGAAAAAGATTGACATCAGGAACTCGAAAGTTGAACAAGGGAATGGCATTGACACAAACAAGCTTGATGCTACTCAACAGGAAATTGAAAGACAGTCTGAAGAAAAGGAAACTATATGGAGAAAACTACTTCCTGATGCCGCATATTCACGCCTTAAGGAATCCAAAACTGATTTTCATCTCAAGGTTCATACCTGCTTTCTGACATGATTGATACTGCGTTGAACTGTGATTAACATGTTTCCTTAATTTTCGAAATTCAAATAATATCGTCATAATATGCTCATTTGCCCAATCTCTATACTTAATTTAATGTATATACTTTTGTATAAGAATTTTGTTGGTTCCCCATCTTTGCAGTCACCTGATGAATTGATGCAGATGGCACATAAATATTATGACGATGTTGCACTTCCAAAGCTGGTTAGTTTCATAATTTTAAGTATGTTTTTAAACCAATTTATTCTGGAATTTGTTTAGTTATTGTGACTTCAAATTTTTAGGTGGCAGATTTTGGGTCTCTTGAACTTTCACCTGTTGATGGAAGAACATTGACTGATTTCATGCATACCAGGGGTTTGAAAATGTCTTCTTTAGGACGAGTGGTAATGTTCTAATATTTATCTATTTCCTATGTGCAAGTGCAATGTGTTTTGAACTCTGTAATGAATGTTTTCATAATTATATAGACAATTTCACGAATATAATATTTATTCAAATTCTGTTGCAGGTTGAACTTGCTGACAAACTTCCTCACGTGCAATCACTATGTATACATGAGATGGTTGTTCGAGCCTACAAGCACATCTTGCAAGCTGTTGTTGCAGCTGTTGATAATGATTCTGAAATGGCTTCATCTATAGCATCGTGCTTAAACATATTGTTGGGAACACCGTCAATTGAAACTAATGATGTTGAGATTACTAGTTGTGATAAACAGAAATGGAAGTGGGTAGAAATCTTCCTTTTGAAGAGGTTTGGATGGAAGTGGAAGCACGAAAGCAGTAAAGATTTAAGAAAGTTTGCTATTCTTCGTGGACTATGCCATAAGGTAAAATAAAAGGACTGATGATATTAATTTTTTTTCTGTTATTAGTATTTTGACTTGGAAAATTGTTTTTAAGGTTGGACTTGAACTGGTTCCAAGGGACTATGAAATGGAAACAGCATCTCCTTTTCGAAAGTCAGATATTGTAAGCATGGTCCCCATATACAAGGTGAAATACACTACAAATTTGTTTTTTTTATGTGGAAAGTTGACTATATTTTTCTCAATTCATATTCACTAAATTGCAATTTCCATAGCATGTTGCTTGCTCATCTGCTGACGGCCGGACCCTGTTGGAATCATCAAAAACTTCTTTGGATAAAGGTAAACTGGAGGACTCTGTCAACTATGGCACAAAGGTATGAATAAATTCTCCCATCTAGCAGAAAGATTTGTTCAAGTAGACAGGAAACAAATTACCAACATTTTGAATTGAATCTTGAAGGCACTTTCAAAGTTAGTATCAGTGTGCGGGCCTTACCATAGAATGACAGCAGGAGCTTATAGCCTATTGGCTGTTGTGCTATACCATACTGGTGACTTCAATCAGGTATGTGTTATGGCAACGGCAACGGCAACGGCAACTAGTGACATATGCTATGAAAATTAAAAGCACTTTGTATGCTTTAAATTTGTTTGAAATATTTGAGTTCCTATCATCATAATGATTTAATTGTGGTTTCCTTAGGCAACTATCTATCAGCAAAAAGCACTCGATATTAATGAAAGAGAGCTTGGACTGGATCATCCTGATACTATGAAAAGTTACGGGGATCTTGCTGTTTTCTATTATCGACTCCAACATACTGAGTTGGCTTTAAAGTATGCTTCCAATATCCTAATTTTAATAGTTTATTGCTATATCAATTGTATGTTCTTTTTTATTCTTCCTATGTCCTTTTAATAGTCCTGTCCTGTGCAACCTTTTCTATTTCTAATAATAGAAAGTCTTGTAACTTTACATTATTATGGATACTGTTCTATGTGTTAGACATCTTATTAGTAAATATTACTAGGAAGTTATTATGTTATTAGGAGCAGTTCAGTGATACTTACAATATTTTGTTGATTGTGTGTGTATGTATTTAGGTATGTTAATCGTGCGTTGTATCTTCTGCACCTAACTTGCGGACCTTCACATCCGAACACTGCTGCCACCTACATTAATGTAGCAATGATGGAAGAAGGATTAGGGAATGTCCATGTTGCCCTGAGATACCTTCACGAGGCTTTAAAATGTAACAAAAGATTACTTGGAGCTGATCATATTCAGGTCCCTCTCACTCTTAGCCTGAAGAAATAAATTTACTAGTTGTTCATCAAAAGGAAAAAAGTTTTACTAGTTGCTATTTTAATATGAAGAATTGCACTACACATAAAAATTGAGATTCATGAAACCGAGCAGAGCATTCTGAATTCTATTCAATAGTTAACTTTGACATGTTATGTTAAATGACTTATGACTGTATCATTATCATAGAAGGGAAAATAAAATCTGTAGCCATTTGGTTACTAAATTGGAATTTCTTATAGCATTGTTGAGTGTCTTCCTGAATATGCATCCCATTGGGATTAGTAGGAACCTTAACCTATAACTAATTATCAAAATTTTGGTTTGTTCAGACGGCAGCCAGCTATCATGCAATAGCCATTGCTCTTTCTTTGATGGAAGCATACTCTCTAAGCGTTCAGCATGAACAGACAACTCTCCAGATATTGCAGGCCAAACTTGGGTCTGATGATCTAAGGACTCAGGTACGTACTCTTCCATATGCTCTTTCGTGGTAGATATATGTAAGCAGCAATCCTTGTTCCTCAGGCACAAAGGTGTGAATATGTTACAGGATGCAGCTGCTTGGCTTGAATATTTTGAGTCAAAGGCTCTCGAACAACAGGAAGCTGCACGGAATGGTACACCTAAGCCAGATGCCTCTATCTCCAGCAAGGGTCATTTAAGGTAGTAACAACAATTAAATTTAAAACCTAAGTTATGACTAAATCATTCCCTCTATTGCAATTGATGGTTTTTTTTTTTCTTCTCATTTAAACACATTCGTTCATGTTCTAAGCAATGCTCTTTGGTTAATCATCTGTAAAATTAAACAGTTTTGTGTTGCAGCTGATTTTTAATTTTGAATTGAAATATTGGCTTAAATATTCTAACAATCAAAATGTCTTATATCAGTGTGTCTGACCTCTTGGATTATATAACACCAGAGGCTGATTTGAAAGCAAGAGAAGCACAAAAGAAGGCCCGTGCCAAGGTAATATAAATAAAATAACTCGTGTGATCCCGGATATTATTGCTTGTAATATTATTTTCCGAGAAAAAAACTTACAAATTCATGTTACAGTTAAAAGAAAAACCAGACCAAAATGGGGATATTGCTGCAGATGAAAATCATAACGAGAGAGATTCAATCAGAGAGACTTCAAGTGATAAGGAAAATAAATCTGAAGGTCAATTTCAAGAAGTTAGGGTTGATAAAGTTGAGTCCACTGACATAGATCAAACCAGTGTCAATGAAAGTAATAAAGTGGCACAGGATGACATCTCAGATGAAGGATGGCAAGAGGCTGTCCCCAAAGGTCGTTCACTCATTGGAAAGAGACCTACCCTAGCAAAACTGAATACTAACTTCATGAATAATTCTCAATCATCAAGGTATCGAGGATCTCCAAGATCAAATTTAAATGAGACTATTGTGGGGCCGTCCCCGGCTGTTCCAAAGAAGTTCGTCAAGAGCTCAAGCTTCAGTCCTAAGCCGAATGGCTCTAACACCCCTACTGCAGACACAAAATCAGCTCCAGTCAGCCCGGCTCTAAGCAATCAAATTGCTAAACCAGGTTCTGTTAGTGGAGGTATCAGTAAGTTATTTTCTTACAAAGAAGTTGCCTTAGCCCCACCTGGAACAATTGTCAAAGCTGTGGCTGAACAAAATTCCGAGGGGAGCCCCGAAATAATTGCACCAAAGGAGATTCATAGTAATAAGGGAACCTCAAATGATATCAATGATAATGATCAGAATTCAGTTGGTGGTAAACAGCAAGAATCTCTCAATGAAAAAGAAAAGAAAATTGATATGGTTGCAGATGATACAGAAACATTAAAGAGTAATGATGTTAGAGAATCCCAGGAAGGCAATAGTGATGGTGTGATAGAGAAGAACGTTGAAGTTGGAAACATGACAGACATGGAGGTTGAGAAATCTAATTGTATAAACAATACAACCAAAGGTTCATCAAAGATAGAAGCACAAGCAACTTCTTCAACCATTTCAGTTGAAAGTCAAATACAGTTAAACGGCAATGATGCCTCTGTATCAAAAGGAGATGAGAAACAATCTGAAGGACAAAAAGCACAAGAAATAGAAACTGGAAAAGAACCAACAAAGAAACTTTCAGCAGCTGCACCACCATTTAATCCATCCACAATTCCAATTTTCGGGTCTGTTCCAGTTCCAAGTTTCAATGATCATGTAGGTATTTTGCCGCCACCAGTAAATATTGCTCCTTTGCTTCCACGAAGATCTCTCCATCAGTCAGCAACAGCTAGAGTTCCATATGGTCCACGAATTTCTGGTGGCTATAATAGACATTATGGAAACCGCATTCCCCGAGGTAAGATTATATTTCCCTCAGGTGATCACTCTAGTGATGGCAACCCCAACAGCCCTCCTACAATAATGAATCCACATGCCATAGAGTTTGTACCTAATGGTTTCTCTCCCGTCTCTTCCAATGATGCTATTCCTCCTCCTCAAGTGAACCAAAATGAGTCTGCAACATCTCCAACTACTTCAAATGATTCAGCACAAGTTGAGAACGATCTTCAAAATGAAAATGTTTTTCAAGACCAAGTTATTGAACTTGTCGGTGGTGAAAAGCAGCCAGTGGAGCAAAATCCTCAACAGAGCCCACTTGTTAGCAATGAAAATTCTTGTCCTAAACTTGAAGAAAAGGATATAGACTCAATTGAGGATGGAGTAACCAACAAGGACACACAAGACGAGGTAAATTCAAACAAATGTTGGGGAGATTACAGTGACAATGAAGTTGATACAATTGAGGTCATAGGTTAAGATGTAAAGTTTTTCTTGCCAAGGTATCAAGATAACAAAATGTGATCAAGGATTTGCATGGTACAATTGATTTCTTATAAGTCTCATCCATTTTGGTACATATTGATTGAGCGGTTCGAGTTTAAAGTCTGTTTTTGACAAGAGAGAGACACATACATGACAACGGAACACTTTATGATTAGTTAACTAGCTTGTGTCTTTTATTATTTTCATTTGCTGTTTTTTTTTTTTTGTTTTTTTTTTTGCATGTTTAGCTTTCATGTCGTGAAACTATGTTGGTAGTTGATGACTAGGTTTAAAGAACATAATGTTTTATCTTTGTCTTTTCCAATTTGTTGTCATTTTATATTTTAAAATGATATTTTCATGTGATGAATAATAACACCTTCACCAATGAAAATCTTGGACTTGGTGATCATAAATGGGAAAGCATGGAAATATTTGTATGTATATTGGAAATAGTTGAACAGTTTAATTGCATATTGAAAATCCTTTGTGTTAGATGTTTTGTTTTTTAGTTAGATATTTTTGAAGCTATTAAGAAAAAATTGATTGTTTAGTGTTTATAATCGAGCACTATTAATACTCTAATTTTTTATAGGATTAATATTTATTTCTCCCTTTATTATATGGATGAGTTTTGAAAAGAATTTATAAAAAAAGTTTGAATTCACTCTTTATTATATATATAAAGATTCTTCTATTCACCATCTTGAAATTTAGTCATTTAAATCTTTAACGTTGACAATTTTTTTAATTTTTTATTATTATTTTTAATGACATGGATGAAAATTGAAAATATTTATCCTAAAGAAATAAAGAAATGTTAAACCCAAGACACTAAGAGCATCCACATCCATCATATCCATTTGGGTTCTTTAAATGTGACTCACATAATTTTTTATATTATTTCACACTTCTCAATTTTTTAAACAACCCATCTACAATTCTCAAATATCCATGTAACTCATCAAAAAATCTAAAATAGGTCCCACATTTAAAACAAATCAACTACATTCTTACAATTTTATTTATTAATTTATTATCATGACCCACTTAATTGGAGTGTAGAAGCGTGATTTAGTGATTTAGTTCAGAAACGTGAAAACAAGTCAAATATTCATTTATTATTGACACAATTTCTTTAATAAATATGTAGGAACTCTAAAAAAACACCGATAATCATGCTCTAAAGTTACGTGCACATTATCCGCCACTAAGGTTACGTGCACATTACCCGCCACTGCGTAAATTTATTTTTTATGGTGATTACTTGAATAATATATATATGTATATATATATATATATATATATATATATATATATATATATATATATATATATATATATATATATATATATATATATATATATATATATATATATATATATATATATATATATATATATATATTATATGTTACTAAATATTTTATATACTTAATATGGTTTAGAGGAGTGTTTTTCAAGCCTCATTTATATATAAAGGACAAAATATCTATTAACTTTTTTTTATAATATTATAGAAAATTAATTGTTATAAATTATTATTAAAATACTTAAATACTTTTTAATGTATTTGAATCAATCCAAAATCAAATTAACTCGATATTTCTTGATTCAATTTAAGTTTGAATTTTATCAAAATAATTTAAAATCATTTCGGTTTAAGATTAAGTTCAATTTCATTCTTCTATTTCCTTTTTTTTTTTTTTTTTTGCGTTTTATGTCTCCTAATTTTTACAATCTCAATTTTTTTTTCAAAAAAAATTAAAGTAGTTGCAAATATGTGAATCTAATAGGCGGCAAATTCCCACGTCTATAGTTAATGCAAATATGTAAATCAAACATGCATAATAAAGTAATATGTTCAACATCTTTTCTCGTCCCGTATTTATTGGTGGGAGTTCATATTGATCCCTTAGTTTTAAAATTGATTAGTTTGGTCCTTAACTTTACTAATTGTTTCAAGTATATACCTTTCTAATCATTTTTCTTAAACGTTGTTAATTTTTTTAAACTTTTTGTCCTAGTTAATAGGATGTGGCAACCACTAAATATATATATTGAAACATATTTATTATATGTTACTAAATGTTTTATATGCTTAATATTATTAATCTATTTTTTATTAATAATTTTATTTCAATTATTTTTTATTTTTTATTAAATAATATTTATTACGTAAAATTTATTAAATAATTAGTATTAAAATATTATATGAAATAAATATTATATAATATTAAATAAATATTATATATTAAATAAATATATTTTAAATGAATATATATTAAATCTAAATATTAATATTTAATATATATCAATTTTATTTTAATTTATATATTTAAATCTAAATATAAATATTTAATAAACATATTTCATAACTATTATTTATTAGTTATATCTAGAAAACAATTATTTAAAAACTATTTAAATTTTTTTATTTAGAAGTAATATTGTAAGTTAACTATTAAATAAAAAATTTTAAATATTATTTTAAATAAATTTTAAATATATTAATTAAAATGATATTGTTAATATGAAATAAACATTATATAATATTAAATAAATATTATATGTTAAATAAATATATTTTAAATGAATATTTATTAAATCTAAATATTAATATTTAATAAATATCAATTTTATTTTAATTTATATATTTAAATCTAAATATAAATATTTAATAAACATATTTCATAACTATTATTTATTAGTTATATTTAGAAAACAATTATTTAAAAACTATTTAAATTTTTTTATTTAGAAGTAATATTGTAAGTTAACTATTAAATAAAAAAATTTAAATATTATTTTAAATAAGTTTTAAATATATTAATTAAAATAATATTGTTAATACAGATATTTAAATAATATTGTCCATTAATATTGTTAAATGTGTTTATTAATAATGGTATTTAAATAATATTATTATTAAAATACTATTTAAGTTTTTTTATTTAATAGTTAGCTTACAATATTACTTTTAAATAATTTTTAAATTAACTATTTTAAATAGTATTTTAAAATTTATTTAAAATTTTAAGTTAACTAATTAGATATTTATAATTATATTTAAATAATTAAATATAAATATAAATTATTCCAATAATATAAATATTATAACATATTTTTTCAATTACATAATATTACAATAATTTTTTATATTTATAAATATTTTTTCAATTACATAATATTATGTAAATATATTTTCAATAATACTATCATGATAGAAATATAAGATACTATTACGTATTAATATATTTATCATAATAATAGTAATTGAAATATAGTTAAAATAATATTATTTAAACAATTTAAATTTAAAATATATAATATATAAAATATTAATTAATTAAATAATTAATAATAAATTAATAATATTAAAAATAATTAAATGTTAACTAATTATGTAATATATATATATATATAATAGTAAACCATAACATATAATATATACATAAAATAGGGCATATAAACAACTTAATATATATTTGATATAAATTAATATCTAAATAAAGCTGTTGAAATATTAAATTAAATTAGATTAGATTAGATTAGATTTAATATTTAATATAATTCAAATTGTGTTAGCCCAAGTCTAATTAGGGTTGCATATAAATAGTTATAGTGTGTATCATTATTTGTATACTTGAATAATACAAATTCTTATTTTCTTTATTATTCTTTCTTTCTCTCCTCACTAAAAGTGTCTCACGCACTAACAAATTGGTATCTAGAACTTCCGGTTATTGTTCTTGATCAAGTTTTCATGAATGTCACGTCAGAGATCATTTTTCTAGGGCAAGTAAATCAACGGTTGCGAAGATGGCTAATGATAAGGGCATTATGAATTCTCTTCCAATGCTTGACGGTAAAAATTAGATCCGACGAAAAAATAGATGCAATCCTTATTTGGCTTCCATGAAACCCTAGAAGTGGTTACCAACGGCGTTCCTGCGTTGGCTGCAAATGCAACCGACGTACAGGAAAAAAAAACCATAACGAAGTCAAGAAGAAAGATTGCAAGGCTGCTTATTGCATTCAAACGGTTGTCGATGTTGTTAACTTCGACAGAATCTCTCATGCTGAAACAACGAAGAAGGCATGGGGTATTCTGGTAAAGTATTTCGAAGGAGGTGAGAAAGTCAAGATTGTCAAATTACAAATCTTGCATCGACAATATGAGTTGTTGTCGGTGGGAGAAGATGAAAAAGTTGCAGAATGTGTGTCGAAGGTTCAGAAACTCGTCCATCTCTTGAAGGGTTGTGGTGAAACCATTACTGATAAGATGATAGTTGAGAAGGTAATGAGAACGTTGACCTCTCACTTTGATCACGTTATCGTAGCTATTCAAGAATCCAAAAATCTTGAAATCACTAAAGTGGAAGATTTGGTTGGTTCATTGGAGGCGCATGAGATGAGGATTGTCAAAAGGAAAGGAGTTCAGGACTCGATACAGGCACTGCAAGCTCAATCATGGAAAAAAGATAGTGGTTTCAACAAATTCAAAGGCAAGTTCGACAAGACTCGTGGCAAGAAGTCTTGGTCGAATCCCCATAAGAATAAGGTCGAAGATAGATCTTCTGAATCCTCGAAAAGGGGAGGAGGAAATTATCGAAAGGACAAAGAAGATAAGAAAGGTATGCAGTGTTATAATTGTGAAAAGTGGGGACACTTGACCAAGAATTCTTGGTACAGAAAAGACAAGGGATCGAAAGTCAAGGACGAAGGAGCGAACCTTGCACGCCAAGATTCAGATGATTCTGAAGGTGGTATGATGGTTATGGTTGCAGATAACCATGTTGAATCCAATATCTGGTTTCTCGACTCAGGCTGCTCAAACCACATGACTGGTCGAAAGGAGTGGTTGGCAGATTTTGACGATTCGAAGAAGAGCAAGGTAAAACTTGTTGATAATAGTTTGTTACAAGCAGAAGGTACTGGCAACATAGTCTTTCAAGTGAGTAATGGAGGGAAAGCTATGATCAAATATGTGC